CGGATACACACCGACACATTTTGCCATCACATAGCTCCTCACTGATAATTGCGCGACGAACCCGACCACTATTAGTTGAGCTATCGCAACACTGCACACCGAAACAGTTGGATTGGTCGGCGGTGTGACACGCATTAGTCGGTGACCTAGCGCGCGCCATATTTTTTGAAGCGTCCGACCCCAATACAAAGGTGCTTTGAAAAATGTACTTTTATTTTCGTGCGAAATGATAACAGTTTGTTACGATAATAATCAGAAAAATTGATTTTTACTGCAAACCTTCTATTATCGTTGTTCCTCGTGCTTATACGAAGAACTCACGGCATTTACGGGTTTCGAGAGTTTTGAAATGAACGCATTGAATCGCCAACATAAAAACGGGATCAAACGTTTTATGAGCTTGTCGGGATACGGGACGATATGGTCACCTTGTACCTGGTATACGCTTTTACCTGGAGCCTGTGTTGTGTTTGCAGACTGTTTAGCTGTTCTCGCTGTTTAGCTAGTCGCGGTACATTTTAACAATCACACGCTAATATATCAAACGCACAATGACACGTGTATAAATAAACGTAATGACCGTGTTAGGTTTTTCATGACGCGGTCCACTAGAGTTTTATCGATGATTTCAGAGTTGTCCGTGATGAATACGAGAAATAATGATCGTTCTCGACGATCTACTCGTGGATAATTTGCGTTCACACAAACAGTAAAAATAGTTCGGGTCGTGGATCGACACGTGTAATGTATATGCGCACGACGATATCGACGTGTAACCCCGGTAGGCCCGCGGACCGATTTCGATTTCACGCCTACCCTTTTCCGTTTTTTGACGCCTCGGAGCGTCGAACATTACATGTTCAGCAGCAGCAGTAGCACTCGTTTGGGTCCCGCGCAATGCATACGTGTACACCTGTGTAACCTGTAAATTTGTGTACCGCCACCGCCGCGATAACAACCGTATAATTAGGACGATCGATTTTTCTCCCCACTCCACCCCATGTGTATAACACACGTAGTACGATATAACACTGTATAATATTGAAACGTTCATCCGAAAAGCAATCGTATTCGTATGCAACTATACGGTATGATGTGTATCTCGTTCCTCCTCTGCGACACTAATAATGGTTACGTTTATGGTAATCGACGATAACCGTGTTTTCTATACACAATACACATGTATTAAATACTTCGGATATACTTCTTATATCGGGTTCACATCGCGGTCGAGCTTTCGTGTGCACATAAACAAACATTCGTAAACGGAACATTACCGTCACCGCATATTTAATACTGATGTACTCGCACACACGCACAAGACGTACCTTTACGTATATTGCACTCGAGGGCAGATTATGAACAATGTATTCTATCGATAAATAAAACGATTTGAAAAACAATACAGTGTCACTGTGTATAATGATGTATGTAGTGTAGTTACGTTGTATAAATATAGGTGGCTGCCGCCGCTACGATTTCGTGTCTAGATTTATTTTGTATTTCATTTTTATGATTGATGGACAGGAATAAAAAGGTACACGGCTTACGACCGTCTTCGTGCGATATCGTAGCGCCGATATTATTATGTTGATATCGAACACGTGCGCACACCCCACCACGATTGACAAATGAACGCGTAAAAATAAAACGGAAACGAAAAAAGACACGTGTAGTGTTTTCTTTCCTTGATTGTCGTACCAACAGTGGATTTCCCGAACCGCAGTACTGCTGCTGAGAAATCGCCAGACCGTCCGTGTTCTAAAACGCGAATGCAGGATTTCGGTGATCCATCGTATATTATGTACGGGAAAAATCTTAAAAGTCGCTCGTGCACAGGAGAATAAGAAGAGACAAGTGACATGGGTACGGTACGAAGTCGAACCTCAATACTGAACGAAATTGACAATGCTTTGAAAAAAATTGGTAGGATATAAACACAATTTTTTCACTGTACACGAAATGTACGCAAAGAATAATTTGTAGCATCATGTACAGTAATAATGTTCACGTACATGAAACGAATAGTTTTGTGTTGGTACAAAAACTTTATGATGTTTTACAAAATTATTTTACCCAAGATTTTTACAGTGTGCGCTCTGCAAATCGCAGTAGTTTAATAGTCATCGAATAATGGCACGATAATTCCTTTGTAAGAAAGCGTTTCTCGACGACAAACGTCATTGTTCCACGATGTGGAAATTCGGTTCAACGTAGAAGTTCGTTAAGTACTTACTGATCGTGTGCCTGCTGCGCGTATTGAATCGCTATTTCTATCATTATTCTCGAAACGCGGTTCGCAAACGTACGTGTTGCGAGTATCGCGCGTTTTTGTTGCAAAAAAAAAAAAAAACAAATTCCGTTGTGGGTACGTCGTTTTTTTTTTTTTTTTTGTTTCGTTATCATTTATACCGGCGGTACAACGCAGTACAACCGCGGGCACGTCTCTCGTACGGTACGGCGATACCCGTCTCGCCGGGAGTTGCGAGAAGGAATTTAAAAATAATTCTCTCGTGAAACGTGTCGAAAAGACGTAACGCGACGACAACGGGCACGGATGGGCGTACGAAGGGTTTACTCGGTTTCGCGGCGGCCGCGTCGAAAAACGGTTCGCGCGAACCCACCCCGCTCCACGTTCGCCCACCCCCCCAGCCGCCGCCGCCGCAGCCGCTACGCGCAGGTACGCCGGGCGCGCAGGTTAATTATCGTTGCGGTGGCTCGGCGGGTCGGAGAAAACCTTTTGTTCAACACCCGATAATTAGGAAGTGGGCGTGCGAGCACGGGAATTATGAGTGACAATTGACGGTGAGCGCTCTGCCTCCCGTACGCGTATTATACGCGCGTGTGCGTATTCCTATTACCGCCGCCGCCGTATGTTGTTGCAGTGTCGCGGTGGTGTTATTATTTTGTTTTTTTTTTTTCTTTCCGTATTTAATTTTTCGAAGGCAATTTGAAATTTATGACGGGACTCGGCGCGCAGCAGACGGACGCGGGGGGCGGTAGAAGCGAAAGATACGATCGACGGCGGCCCCGAGGTGTCGGTTGGAACACGGTTAATTGCCGGTTAGTTTACGACCACCGATGACGGGAGCTCTACTACGACGACGACGACGACGTTGTTTCCACGGCCGGTGCCGCGCGGTGTGCGCACAACATTACACAACTGTTATTATTTACACCGGCGTGCACGCGCAATTATCCATAACTTCGCCGGTACGTCGCGCGTCTTGCCCCGTCCGTTCCGAACCGTCCCCGAGTAAAATATATCGGTACGTGGTCGTAGCGAGTGTACGTAACGCAATCGTGTTCGCCTTGTCGATCGTCGTGTACGGTACCTACACGGCTACCGTCAGTCCTCGACTTGACAGAATTCAAGAGCGGGTGGACTCTATTTACTTCGAAAAAAAAGCGCGTCCCACAAACTTGTTAAGCGTTATAATTATAACGTAATAATAGCAGGGGGACGCTAAAATTTCTGAAAATCAGTTGGGTAACCCCGTCCTCTTGCGCCCCCCCCCCCCAAAGTCGAGCACTGGTTACCGTATAGTCTCAACGGACGTTATCCCGTTGTGACGAGTCGAGGCACAGATCGGCCGCAACTGCCTCGTGACACTGATTTTTCTGCATGTTGACCGTGCAACGCACGTCTGAACCCGTACTTAATGCAAACGTGGCAGTGTACGCTCTTAGGACAAGTCTTTTCTTCTGATGGACTTTTTGACAACACCTGTTTTATACTGTACAGTGAAAACGCACTCTTAGTTGAATATGTGTATCGAACGGTCATAGTAAATATACAATAGTACACTTTACGCATAAAAAAAATAAGTGTCAGTCATTAGGATACTTGAACTAATGTATAGGTTTACGGTGTACAGTTGTAATAATGTTTGTGACAATTGATATCACGTTACAATCGCCTAATTGTATTACGGATACGAGGTGAGGTACTTATGACGCGGAAGACGTAAAAACTGGAGTAGATGACGAATTCAATTTCTTTTGTTTGAACTATAAATTAAAACCGTGTCCGCTCTACTTCCTTTCGTACGTACCGATAAGGGCAATTACCTCGGACCATCACTTTGCACTGCTCTAATATAGCCGTACCAAAGAACAAAACCTACTAGTGTTAAACTGTTTAATCGAAGTAAACGAAATAAAACGTTAAATTCTAAAACATAATTAAAACGCAAAACGGAGTAATTTTCTTTTAATCATATCGATTTCGCGTAGTAATCAATGTTCAAAACTCAAAAAGTAACCGTTGATCCGCACGCTTCACGCGTTTTACACAATGTTCGTACAAATGTTTAAACATAGTTTTCTACCTTCTACCTGAGCACAAGGGTATTTGTCGTGGTAGTTTTATCCAACACCGTTGAAACGGTGAAAACCATCGAGACCCAGTACAACCGAAAAATGTGATCGGCCACTGTGTTCTTTCGTCAGCTCATTATACAGATAGTCCAAACGACGATCACTGCAATAGTCGTGTGCGTACCGGGTAACTTATTTTTTCCGATACAAAAAGATTCGTTCGACTTACGCGGAGTCGCGTACCGCGAACGCTTTAAACGGTTTACGTTGCAGGTGTTACCGTGGCCGCGCGAACGATTTATGTTGACGCATTTGACTTATATGGAACGCGCGTTAAACGATACATAATTAATAGAGCGGTGAAGTTATTACGTTAAAAAAAAAACGCACGCGAACCGATTGAATTATCGCATTTATAAAAAAAAAATTGAAACACAAGTGTGTTGTTCACGTTGTTATTATCGACGAACGACGAATAATTAATTGTATACACTCTCACTGACCCGCGGCATCCGACTTTGCGTTAGCACATGTTTTGCGCGTCGTCGCACTATTAGCACGTAAACGTGTAACATCGCTCGCCGCCGCGTTACACGCATAATTATTGGACGTGTTACGTTATCGTACCTTATGTATGTTCATGTCGAAGTTAATTTTTGTTTTTTTTTTTTCCTTCGCAGATCATTTTGAACTCGATGCACAGATATCAGCCCCGGATACACCTGGTCAAGTGGAGGGGCATGGTGACCGATTTGGACTCGGAAAAGTACCGGTCTTTCGTGTTCCCAGAAACCGTGTTCACGGCCGTCACGGCTTATCAAAATCAACTGGTGAGTGGAGAGGATAAAAAATAAAAATATAATACGCGCGTACGAAACGCGTACGCGCAGGTAGCCGTTCGCCTTAAATATGCGTACGTACACGTGTAGTGGGATAACAGTAGTAATAATTCGACAATCGACAACGCGCGTCCGTCTCGTCCCCGCGCGCGATCCTCGGGGGATTTAGTTGACAGCCAGCAGCGGATAAGTAGACAGGTTGTGCGCGCGGCGGCACACGGCGGCGGTAGCTGATCGCCTGACAAAAATCGGTATTTTCTCTCCGTTCTTTTCACTCGCGACGTAATTTATTTCCCCCCCGACGCGTTGTCAAACGTCTCTCTCGTCTCTCGTCTCGTATTCCGCGGGGTTAGGCGCGCGCGTACGGAATACGTGTCCCGTACGCGAGCAGGATTTACGCAAATTAGATTCCTGACCGAGCGCGCGTTCGTCCTTCGTCTTTTCTTTTTTTTTTTTTTTTCATTTTTTTTCCCACTCCGTCCGTGCGCGCCATTCCATCTCGGTTTATAAAACCGCGTACGACACCCGTGACGATATTATACGCAATGCGTTTGCACGCGTACTGCAAGGATTATTTATTTTCCGCAAACGTCTATGTACGTATGTTTATAAAACAGTAATTACGACCGTTTGCGATTCAGCGTCAGTCGTAGCCCGTGAAACCTTGCGAGAAATTTCAAATTTCGAACTCTTTGTTGTACACCGTTCCGCTCTAACGACAAGAGACAGTAAGATAGAGCACTGTTCGTTCTTGGACACTGTACACCATACGTGTGCGTGGTAAACGACGTAACGATGCACAAACTCCAGCGCGTTTATACATTTTCAAACTACGGTACCGTCGTACGTACTGCACCTGCGATCGGTAAGAAATTTGTACATTTAATAATTGTGTTATCATTTTTGTTTCCCGTTGCAGATCACGAAACTGAAAATCGACAGCAACCCCTTCGCCAAAGGATTTCGCGATTCTTCACGTTTGGGAGAACTAGAAAGGTGAGTGTCGACGTTTTCCGTGCAACACGGTTGCTGTTGCGATCCAGGGACGGATTGGCCTATCGGGAAATCGAGATTCTTCCCGATGGGCCGGTCCTTGTTTGGGCCGCTCTATATTATTATATAATCACCAAAAAAAAAAGTTTTATTTTTTAAAACAAATAAAAATTATTAAAAAAATAAATGAACTTCAAGTTCAAGTTGGAACTGATTAATCATGTGACTTACCCAAAACTATTATAGCTATAATTATAGTAAAGTTATTGTAGATTTTACTAATTTAGGGGTAAAACTAAACAAGTTTTGAAGTTGATGCAAAATAAAGCATTTTTTTTTTTTTTGGAGGGAGGAAGGGTAAAATAGTTTGATTTGCAGTTCATGGGCCGGTTTGTTTCATATTTCCTGGGCCGAAAATAATTGCCAATCCGCGCCCCTGTTGCGATCGTATTATAAACCCGATCGAATTGTTGCGCGGAAAATAATCGTTTTTATCGGAGACCCGAATCGCGCGTCCAAACGAGGGGGAGGGGGGGCTATCGGGTACAAGAGTTTTGGTCCGTACGCGCTCGTTGTACGATGTGCGTACCCGGACGCGAAATAGTTCGTTCGAAACGGTGCGCGCGACGACGAGTACAACATCACAGGTTACGACTGTTGTTTCTCGCGCACACATTAAGCGTACCCTCGCGGTACCGCGTCGCTTTTATGTTTCGTCGTAAACGCGCGCACAAGCGTCGCTGAAATTGTTATTTTTTACGCCGCGCGCTAGTAATATCTTTTTATGTTTCGACACCTCCCACTGCCAATACACAACACCGGCCGGGCGACCGCCGTCGGGCGGAAAAGAACACCGACCTCACAAAAGAGATGAAAAATTGTACGGCACGTACAAAGTGTACGGGCGGCACCGTAGACGTAATTCACACACACACACTCCGCTTAAACCTATCATTTTGACACGTTGTTACGCGGCAAATTTACACGCGGATGTAGAACCCGGGTTACCAGTCGTGCCGCGAAATTACAGGGCACGGTATCGCCGCGATGAGTTTTACACGCGATTCCGTTTACACACACACACGCTATACACTACGTCGAAGTGTAGCAACGCGGTAACACGTATACGTAATAAAATACGACCCGAGTACCGGTACCTGTACGGTTGTTTGTGCGTACGCTCATTATAACGTGAAATCGGAAAACTCCTACCCGATACATTATCGACGCGAACTGCGCGCGTATCGAATGACGACGATAACGATCATAATTTTCACTCGTAATGTTCCGTACACGCGATCGGCGGCGCTCTGGATAAAAAATTTTTTTTACCGCCCTGCGTATCTTGTGGCACCCGTAACGCGCGCCGCGTACGATTTACCCGCCGATAACGCCGCACTCGCCCCCCCCCCCCCCCGATCGCCGCGGTGCACGTCAGAATCGTGTCCGTAAACGAGTACGTAACAACGCGATATGTCCGCGCGCGCGTTTCTGTGCGAGCGCCTACGAGCTCGGTGTATTTCTCCGATCGACAACAAAAAAAAAAATAACAAAAATAACCGTTGCGTGTCTCGCCTCGAGCCGTCTAACAAGACGCACACACGCGTACGCGTACATTTTACGTGCGTGCGCGCGAGTTAAAGCTAATGCCGTTCATGTCGGATGGTTATATTATTGTCGTATTATTAACTTCCTATTATTATTTATTTATTTTTTTTCCCCATTCCGTTTCGTTTCCCATCGTCGGCCCGATAATACACGTCGCACGGACGCGCGATGGACGTGTGCCCACGACGTGTTACGATTTATATTTATTTATTATTGTTACGACGTACGTCCCGCACAGGAGGTGTGGTGGTTTCCGTCAGCGACTCGACACGACTCGCGTACGCACGTCGAGATCATCGGGTACCGACCGTCAGCGGTGTTTCGCGCGTGTGCCAACATTTGTCGCGATCGGCTTACGGTGCAGTCGAATACCTACGGTAACCGCGTTTCTGGTCGTGTCTGGTTGCGCATCGGAACGCGTTGACGGACACGAATGCTTTGTAGCGTTCAACGTCTACTGAACAGCATTTCCCTTCCCCATTATTATTATTATTTACACACGTTGTTCGCGATCCGTTTTAATGTCTAAAACAACAGCCAACCAAACTATTATTATAATATATTAGGTAGGAGGGGGGGGAATTATACGACGAGAACAGACCGTTTAAATAATTTCTCATCGATCGTATTGTTCGATTGTATTATCCAATGCGTGTTCTTGTTTCATATCCACTTGTAGTTGATAAATTCCTCCTACGGGTCGTATCATTGTGTTCGTCTCGAGTCTCTCTCTCACTCGTTACGTCTGCTGGTTCCAGAGTTTTTTTTTTACAATATTCTATTCTCGATCCTTTCCGAACGCACGTTCTTCTCGACGTCATCGCAATAACAGTACGGGTGGTACACGTATAAACTCTGTATCCGACTGACATGCGTGTGATCACCATAGAAAGTGCTGCGACATGTCGCCGAACGATTGAGACGGGCACGATGCGCAAGAGACGCGCTTCGGATTTTCACCACGTATAACCGTTACGTTTCGTGTGATTTCGTCTCTCGACCGGCCCTTCGAAATATTGTACGCGAGCTACAGACGTGCCACCGAAGGGCTGGTAACGTTGCGATACGATAACCCGCACTAAACGTGTCGTCGTCGGGCCAAGTCGATTTCTGTTTTAAAGCGTACGCGCACACGACTTACGTCTAAACCGTTACGGTACATTCGTGCACATGTGCCGCGAACGTTATTGACTTATCGAAATACTTAGCGGCGGTACAGGCTAAGAAGTTTCTCCCGTACCAGTGGTGTGTGATGTTGTTTCCGATAACAACGCACGTGTACGTTTTTTTTCTCTTTCCGTTCAATAATTGGTATCTATTATTATCGTTCACACGCGGTACATCGTTTATTTATGTTTTCTAGTGTAACTCCGACGCGGTGCATCTCGTGCACACCTAAACACGTTGATGCGCGCGTCCATCCAGTTCATCGTTAACCGCTAAACCCTTGGAAGCACCTGATTTTCCCACGTCGTTTTAAGCACTCGAAGTCTGTCGCTTTTCCTTTTGGTTGTGATCATGAAAATACGCTTAAATTATCAGATACAATTTCCGTTTATTTTTGCAACGAGCATGTAAATATTGTGGTTTTAAGGTCCTTCTTATGGACGAGTATATATATATATATATATATTAATAATTATTAATACAACAAAATCCAAGTTTAAGAAACTTATTTCTCGAATTCTTGTCGTCACATCAATTTCACTCGTTCAAAACAAAACCTTAGTATTTTTAACGGGATGCAACGAAAATATCATAACTCATCGAGAAAAAATGAAAACCAGTTACTTTGGTAACAATAGTAATTTATTTCTGATGAAATAATGGGCAAACAGTTCTCATTTTCTATTAATCATGAAGTACGTTGGTTTCACACAAGTATTCCGTTATTGTTTCTATTGTTTATCTTTATGATGGCACTTTACACGTAGTCTAACTCGACGTACCGCCAATGGGTTGGGTGTACAGAACTTTCAAAACGGGCTGCAGAATATTTGGTTTGATGTTTTTGAAATCTGTCAAGAAACATTTGGTCTTTTTCGAGGTCGAAGTTAATTTTGAGGTAACCAATAGAAAACCGTTATGTTATCCAGTGTCATCGGAACACCATTCTTCAAACGTGATATTAACGTGTTTTCTGGAAAGAGAAAAAAAACTTAGAACGCTCACGGTGCATAAGAAACACAAGTACCTATTTACCGTATCCTCAGCACGTTGCGAGTACCTGGTTAAGTAGCTGTGCGGCGCGCGTTCGTCTGTTCGCCGGAGATGCTTTCCGCGATAACCGCGAGACGGTGGTTGGGTACGAATAGCTGCGCACCTTGTTACCGCTCCAGGACGAAAATCATTAAAATTAGATTATCATATATCGGGCGCGCGCAACGCGTAGAAGATTTAATATCATTATCGTCGCGCATCGAAGAGGACGGGTAAACACCGCTATATGGTTAAGAGTCTAATATAACACAATGGTAATAGAATATTATTTGTTTACGTTTTCCTTTTTCTTTTTACGCTCCGTTTCGACCACATGGGAAATAATCGGTGTCCAGTGAAACGCTGGCGCGCGGCTGAGGACGCGCTGATCGCAAACGGTGCGTGCGCACGTGCACGGCGGTACGAATGCGACAAGCAGCTAATGTTCGAATCATAAGGATGCAAAGGCAACTGCACCTAGTAGCCCAAATAGATCTTCCCGTGAAATCGTAGCGCGCACCCCGACCGTTTCGATTCCACGTGTTTTTACGGTGACGTGATTTTTTTTACCCAAGTCCCTACGTATTTACGTATTTCCAATCCGAATACCGACGCGGAACGTCAACGTGTCTTCGTCAACGTCGAAGTGCGCGACAATTAGCCGTGACGATAGTACGGACGATCGGTGCGTGTCGAAATTTTTCAAGATTACGTCGAATCCGAACTCCTTTCGCGAAACCCGCTGTTCGATACCGATGGAAATGCGGTTATAAGAAGGACCGCCATCGACGTGTGACATACGGTGCGAGTGTCCTATGTAAACACGTAGGTTTCGGTAGTACTTACCGGTATCAGTCGCGCGCGTAAACGTTCGATACCGCTGCGATATTTTGAACCCTTAGAGCAGAGGCAACTCGAAGCAATCGGAGGGCCAATTTTTAAAACTTTGAAACCAAGCGAACCGTAGTGGGGAAAGCGAAAACGAAAAAAGGTCACTAAAATCCACGGGTAGCGTACATTTTAATTAGTTTGATTTTACGACTGAACCAACACGATGGAACGAGTGGCCGGTACCTACAGCAAAGCCGACACGGACATAAATTACGTTTAGACGTTTAATGATTTAGCTGGAGCTCGACGCTAGAGAGAAATATAATGTCTACATTTTACGATCAACGTGGAAAAAATCGATAGCCGGTAAAATGTGTGATGAAGTGATTTGAAAAGGTAACGCAAGCCGGATGGAAACATTTACGCGGCCCGTCCCTGCTGCGTGAACGTCACGAGCGTACGGTATGCGCGGAAATATGCTAGACGCGAAAGCTATAAGCCATGGTGGACAACTGGCGGCCCGCGAGCCTTTCTTATCCGGTCCGTACTTTATTTTCAAATTACATCATACAATTTCAAAGTTTATCGTCTATACTTTAGCTTACAGATGTAAAAATTGTTATCTGGTATTAAACATCGTTAAATGTCTAAATGTCATATGCATGTATACGTATAACTTTCAAACATGGCTGTTTCCACCGAACTATATGCGGTTTCTTCGTATCATTCGTGACGTGCTGCCGCGTGTGTTAAATGTATTGTTTCGGTGTACACAAATGCTAATTAAAATTCATATTTGGAATGACCTTTTTTCTCGCCCTATGTTTCGGCCCGCTGGATTTTAATTTTCTAAAAATCGGCCCTCTGGTGTCTTTGAGTTGCCCGTCCCTGCTATAAGCGCCTCGGTGCATCGGACACGCGCGTATTCCCGACCCCGTTGTATAGTACATTATGCGATACGCGCAGCACGTAGTCGTACGAGCGCACGTACGCGTCGGGTTACGGCCGTCGAAAAAGATTTAAAACCGTAACAACGGACTGCGGACGACACGGTGTACGCGCATAACTCGTCGGATATTAACGTACGCATAATATTTACGTATGTACGTATCGAGTAAAAAATCGTAAAGTCGCCAAGGACGAGAAACCGTACGCGCACAAAGGTTATAGCACACACACCGCAACATTATTATGTAGGTACGTGTTCGTTTATTGAATTATTACACTCGTTTAGCTCGTGCGAACGTTACTGTCGTTATTTTTTTTTTCTCCTCCTGAACATTATTGTCGTGTCGAAACGAACGTAATATTTTGCTTACGCGCGGAACGTGTATTTATTTTGAGTTTGGAAATTCGCCACTCGTATTTATTACGCGCGCCGGTCCGCCTCGTAAAACCGTACCAGCCCGAACGTCCAACAACAACGACAACAACAATAATAACAACAGCGATGGTAGTCGTATATTATAACGCTTAATTCGTACGTGTATGTGCGTGCGAGCGTCGCACCGTCGGATACCCGCAGTGGCGGCGGTAAGTCCATCACGTCTGCACGTCGTCGTCGGTTTTATCGCTTTTTGTCGTCGATTTGCCACGGGAAAATACGATTTATAATTTATCATAAACGATATTCGTTCGCCGTACGTACGTATTATTATTATTGCGGTGCGCCGCGCCGATGTGTGCGTGCGCACATATTACAATAACGATAAATAAAAATAAAAACTGGTCGGCGACCGGTACCACTACTACCGACGTACGTGCCAACGACGTTCGGCGTTATTGCGATACGCGTTTATGAACACCGTCGTCGGACGTACAGGTGGCCGTTGAACGCCGAGTCCGAACAAGAGGAGCGACTCCTCGACCGGTGCGGTAGGATGGTCGGTAGGATTGCGCGTGTACGTCGTCGACTTTGCCGAAAGTCGTGCCCGGACTGCAGACAATCGACTTTCGGATAACTATTCCCCCCCCCCCCGGCCCTGATCTTTAACATATTGGCACCAGCCGCGCGACGCAAACGGCGTAGAAGCTCCTGACAGGAACCCGAAGGGTGGCAGATTTATCGCTCGGAAATCGATCGATGCCCGTTCGACGCCTCGGAAACGATCGACGGACAAAGAGTGTACCGGACATCCAAGTGCACGTGGACTATTTTTCGTACTACTGTTTCCGACGTAATCGTACAGGGAATTTATTGCATTTTGACTCTTGATAAAAAAAAAAAAAAAAAAAATCGTGGAAATACCTTTTATTGCGGTGGCGAGAAACGATTTCCGACGATAGCAGTTGTTTCGTACTCGATAACACCTTTGGGACATGATACGTTCGCCTAGCCGGTAAACCTAACCCGGTAGTTAACGAGCGCTGTTGATGCGTTTTTATTTTTTATTTATATTAATTTAATTTGAAGGCTTCGCGTCATCGTCGTCACGTATGACGGACTAAACGTTAGGTGGTGGACGACGGGGTTAGTGGTGGGAGGATCGGGGGGGACGTAGAATGTGAGAACTTGTACGAATATTAAATATCCAAGCGTATAATAATTAATCGACGGACCTATTGTTTGGGACCTTGAGCCGCCGCCGCCGATCGGTATCGCCGGGCGCGCACCACCGGCGGTGGCACAAGGACCGCGGCTCGGGGTGAAATCGTTATTATGTTATTAAAACCGGTAATTCGACCGCGGCCAACGAAAATCGCTGTGGGCAACGATGCTCGATGGCTTCTAATTATTATCGTGTACATAGTTTTTCGTGTTTTTCACTATTATTATTCCTTTCCCCTCCGTCACCCCCACTCAACCAGCTCCGACCCTCTCGCCGCGCCTCTCACGCCTCGCCCGCGTCCGTTTCGCCCGACAGCGTTTTTTAATAAGTCTTTAACACGTCCGCGTAAATTATACACACGTCGTCGACTGGAAATTTCTTCGCACCTCGACCGCGTTCGGCTATTATTACAGTTTTATGTGCGCGCGCAGGACACGTACGCACACGAGCGCGTACCCGTTTACACGACCGCCGCATGACATTATACGCGTTACACATATTTTCTACACGCGCACACGCACGCACGTATTGTATAATTTTTTTTTTATATTATTATTTTTTTTTTTTTTTTTTATTATTAAGCTCCCGCGGTCCGCCTGCGGCCGTTTCGGCGGCTAGTCCGCGCGCGCGAGTGCGTGTGCGCGTGACGAAATCCATCGGCACGTTACGATAATAACCGCTAATGGACCGTGCGGCCATCGGTTTACACATCGCGCCGACCGGTTCGCCGGTGGTTCTGCTGCGCGCGCGCGTCGTAAACTAATAACGCACGACGGTAAACGTTCGCGCGCACCGTATGCCGCCACTGGCCCTAGGGTGCACGCCGGGTCTAACGGGTTCGTCGGAACCACGGCGTTTTCTCTGTTCCTCGGAGAGTTCGCCCTTCTTCTCAGGCCCTGACGAATTCTCGACGTGTCCCTTCAACGCACGTACAAGTACGGTACGGAATCCTGCGTGCGTTTCGTCTGGATCGGGTTATACGCTCGGAATCGCACTCGAAAACATAATCGACCAGAAAGGGTGATCATCTATAATCACAACTATTGTTGTTCTAGATGCGTTTTACTCACTTGATCGTTTTGCTAACGAAAAAATTACGTTTAAATAAGGTCATACGACAGTTATTGATATTGGATCGGAACGCGATCCGAAAGATCTAGTTCTACAACGAATATATCGTTTATACTCAACTCGTTCAACCGTCACCGATTCGTCAGTACCACGAACCGGCTCGTGTATGCTCCGAAAAACGGATTATTCAAAACGAATTTCTTTAACAGCAAGTTAGTACTGCAGCGGTATACCGCGGTAACCGTTCAACTGTATTTATTAACATACCCGTGCCGCTGCAGGTACATATCGGTATTATACGCAGCAGCGGTACTAAAAAACGCAATAAATTATCGGGCACCAACATCCTGGAGATTATTTGATGGATATAATGTCGCTGCTCGCGGGAGATTATAACGACGATTTACGATGTGGTAGTTTTTATTTTCAATTTTACGATTTCGTTGGCCCGTCACCGCGACACGTCCGACAACAGCGTTGTACATCATAATAACAGTGTAATGCGTAACGTTACGTGGTAGTTTAATTATAAAAACGGAAAATAATTGAAAACATTACTATCGATTAGTTAAAACTTGACAATATTCGTATATTTGCTGTGTTTCGAAAAAGAGCCGCAGTTCTAATTCGTTTACCATAAATTCAAGGCCAGATGTTAACGAGTTTAAAAGTTCAAGTTAAGTCCACTATGTAGCTGAACAGAATAATGTTTTTTTTTTTAAAAAAGTAAAAAAAAAAGTACTTAACGAGTTTAATCGTGACATGTATTTAATCGGTTAACTTTTTATAGTTATTTTCCGAATTTAAAACCCAGGCATTTAAAATATAAATTTTGGTTAAACTAATTGTTTTAATTATTTTATTATATTTTATTTACTATATATTTATTTTATTATATTATAATTATTATTTAACAATTAGCATTATGATTCTGGAAATGTTCAACGAATTATTCTTGGATTTCAAAATGAATAGGAGTAATGCATAGGCATGCGCAGGAGATATGCAAGGTATGCAATTGCATATCCTAAATATAGAGCCTTCTTTCTAAAATTATAAAAAATAAATAACATTTATGACATATTTGATCTTATGTAGGTATTACTCAAACCATTTCAAGTGTTATGTATTTAATTTTTTTTTTTCGTAATTGATTTTAAATTTTAATTATGAAGACAGTAAGAACGATTAAGAAATAGCCATTCAGTTACTTTTTTCGGGAAAAAAAATTAAAATATAAAATTTAAATAGTTATTAAGACCAGAATTTCGAACGCTTAAATTAACTCTCAGTTTTAGGGGGGGGGCGTAGGCAGTGGCATACCCTGAAAAAAAGGTCTGCGTACGCCTATGGAGTAACGTACATTAATATAATCGCATTTAAAAATCGCAACATTATTCTGTTTGAAAAAAGTTAACTGATTCTTAAAATAATTTCAAGTTTGTTTTATATTTTTCTACAAGTTGAAACGATTATAAATGAACAGAAAATATAAATACACTAGTAGCGAGTTAAAAAAAAAAATCAATTAGTTTGCCCGGTCTTGCCATAAACAACGAAATTACAACATCAATACCAATATCTAATAGTTTCGTTTTCGCACACAGAGACCCGGTGGACTTGATGTTCCTGGAGCACCAGTACAACCAGCACCTGCTGAGCCGCGCGGCCACGCCAATGTTCTGGCCGTCGCAGGACGGAGGTGGCCACCCCGGGCAGCAGTCCGTCATGGAACAGCACCTCCAGCACCAGCACCTACAACAACAGCACCAGCAGCATCAGCACCAGCAGCAGCAACAGGACCAGGCAAATGGCGGTTCCGGATTCATGTTGGCCGCTGCGGCCGCCGCTCGGGCCCAGTTTCACATGCTGAACAACGCCGCGGCCGCTGCTGCCGCGTCCTCTTCATCGTCTGGCGGTGGTGGTGGTAGCGGTGGCGGTGGTGGTGGTGCCGGAAGGTCGTCGTCCGGCGGTGCCGATGGTGGTGGACCACCACCGCCTCCGCAGCAGCAACAGCACTACCAGCACTCGGCCGCGGCCGCTGCAGCCGCAGCCGCGGGCATGCACTCGCTCATAGTTTACGGTAACCATTTCCAACAGTCTCAGTCGCGGTTCGCGGCCGCTGCAGCAGCCGCGGCCGCGGCCGCCGCGTCCTCGTATCCCGGGCCGCCGCCACCGCCCCCGCACCCTTCGTCCATGTTCCCGTGGTCGCCGCAAGCGCAGTACCCCAGGTACGTGTCGGCGGCCGCATTCCAGCCGCCGCCGCAGCAGCAGCAGCCAACGTCCACCGTGTCGTCGTCGTCCTCGTCGTCGCCGCCGTCGTCTTCGTTGTCGTTGTCGTTGTCGTTGCACGGACAGCAGCCGACCGCTGCCACGACCACCGCTACGTCCGCCGCGGCCATCGTCCATCACCACCACCATCACGGTCAACTTCACGGCCACCACCATCAGCAGCAACACCAGCACCGCGGTGGCTATAGCCCCGCGCGGTCACCACCGGGCACGGGTTCGTCGTCGGCCGAGTCGCTGCCGTCGCCGGACGCGGACGGCCGGTCGGCCACCAAGTACCAAAAACGGCACTCGCCTTCGGCCGCCGGTTCGTCGTCCACCGCGGCCCGGTACGGTTCGCCGCCGTTCGACAGCCCGACCAAGACGGACGACCCTTAGACGGTCTCGTCGTGCGCGCACGATCGCCATCGATCATAGTTTATTGTGTAATGCGATGCGCGAGAAACTGTGAGATCGCCGGAAACATAAAAATCTACCGGAATGACGCAATCTCCGGGAACCGAAACGTTTACGTACGACCCCTCACTGTCGCGCCCCTGGTTCATACGATTATTATATTTATTATTATTATTATTATTATTACTATAATAGTTGTTGTAAAGCAGTCGTTTCCGCGCCGATAACGCCGTCGCAGGCCATGCCGTCGGGACCAGAAACGTTTTTCACGTCCGCACGACCCCTGGAGCGTTCGTCGTCCACCGGTATGCGTAACGTATTCGTAGTTATAACTCTCGTCCCTTATTGTACATATCCGTTCTTGTCCCGCGTGCAGATGTTGCGAAAATAATACGGTGTGTGTTTCGCCCGTCACCAGACAACGTCCATGTCCGGCGTCCTCGATTTTCTCGATCGTCTCGGCGGCGACGGGACCGATGCGTCGTTTCCATGTGCAATACGCCCGATGCAATAATGGTTTTAAATGTTATCGTTTCCTTTCCTGACCTTATCGTTTTACCGTTTCGTGCGCTCCTAAGAGAACACCTCGCGCCACCCCTGTCGATCCCGTCACTCGATCACGCAGCATCGGACGACCCTCGCCAAGCTCCCCCCGACACTTCATCCGCTCATCCGTGACGCGTTTATTATCGTTTTCGCGAGAAAAAATTCACTGCGTCCTGTTAGCGTGATCGCATTACCCGATTCATAGTTCGCGTCACGAAATTACATCGCACCGGTCTTCGTTAACAAATTATAATTACTGAGGATTTTCCGATTTTTTTTGTTGATTATTTCACTTCGATCACAATACGACGCATTCTCGCAGTTACCAAAAACTAAGTTTTTTTTATTATTATTATTATTATTATTATTATTATCATTATTATTAATATACGGTTTTGTTTTTCTTCTTCTCGCGTACGCATGTTGCGCAAAAACGTTTCGATTGTTTCAGTTTTTCTTAAAACGTTTTTAAGCTCTACGCCTCTACGGTGTTATAGTTCGTGTAAATAAATAGTTAAACTATGATACTACATTAGACTATTATAGACTAGGTACCAAAGATATGTTTTCTTATTTTATACATACATATATATATATAATATTACGCATTTTGCTCTGTGTGTACGTATTATTATATTTAGTCGTTGTAAAATGCGCCAATAATGTGTAATTATTTTTACGTGTAAATACAGTTAGAATTTTTTTTTTTCATTTACGCCGTATACTCAATACGTCTCTATACATAAACACATATGAACAAATATTATTATAATTAGATGTTTTCTATTAAATTATATCTCTATACATTAAATTGTGAATTTAATTTTTAACAAAATAAAAATAAAAAAAAAAATAACGCATTTGTTTGAATTTTTCATCGTGTGATCTGTACGCGTATACATAATATACATGTAATAATATCGCGTAAGCGACCGTTTTGTGTAAAATAAAAAAAAATATACTATAATGGAATAACATTAACGTTTGTCGATTGTGTTTGCCCGTCCCCTTCCCGTGACGGGTACACCCCGGACGTCGTCACGATGGCGCGTGCAGCTGAGCGGTCTATCTGCACGACGTATCTAACACGCGTTTACGCGAAAGAAAATAATATGAAGTGTGTGAAGCAGTGCTCGTCGTCGGGTGCGAAAAAGACGATAAAAAAAACGTACGAGTGTTGCGATCCGATGTTATCCACGACAGGTGTATCGTAATTTTGGGTGTTTTTTTTCTTCGTCATTGGGAGAAATCGATCGTGAGAAAATCGGTACAGCGACGGGCCGTGCACAAAGGGCGAACAAAATGCGTTACGATTGTCAACGGAAGTCGACACGTAAAAATATTCGAACGACGGTCGAAAAGAAGTGGCAGGTAAGCTTACCGATTATTTTCTTTTTCCCGGCACAACGGACCGCGATCGTTTGATCGACCGATCGGCAAAGCAGCTTTTGTAAACTCGCTCAATGCAATCGAGTCTATAGAACGCGTCGTTCGATTTTCGTATTTTTTTCAATTTTTTTTTTCATTTTTTTTCGTTTTCGCGAATCACGCATGGGTCTCGTGTGTTGTAAACGTTACGGCCGGAAAACTATTCGGCGGGCCCGCGGCGACAGGGATAAAATATGAGAAATGACAAACGCGACCGACTCGTATCGGCACAACGATTTTATCGTCGCGAACGGGATCGAAAAAACCGTATGCGATTCGAGTTGGAATGATTGAACTGGAAAAAACATACACACACATATTTATTTTAATTTTTTTTCTCAATAAAGTCATTTATTATATAAATTATACAGAGCTTAAAAGAACAAGTATACAAATAAATAATAAAATGAATATATCCACCACCAGTAAGCAAAGCTTGCGATGATGGTAGAGAGTTACAAATTCCAATAATTAATGTAATAATCAAACAGAAGTAAATATAAAATAAACACATATTAAACACACATCTTACGTGCAAAATTACAATACTGTTTTACATTAAGCGGCCAAGGGACGGCGATCCACATTGGCGTTCTTCGCGCTTTTTGTCTCGGCGGTTTATTAACCTTGGGCGACTTTAAGTTATTATGGTTATTAGGTTAACCGTATTTTTTAAACAAAAAAACTATAACCGTCACATAATATGCGTATTATACCGATTTAAGGGTTAAATATTTCCTATTCGTCTTATATTTTTAACTTCGCAGACAACGCTTTTCTACTGGAAAATGTGTTCTGATAACACAATGTTTGTACTTGATACGGATCTGTAATGGTGACAGATTTTAATTCACATTTTTCGCTTTTTTTTCTTTCAAGTTCAATTCCGTATGTTAATTTGTTTAAAAAACATACAAGTACATTATTTATCAGTTTTGAGAGCCAATATAGTGTACATGGTAATAAGAACATTTTTTGTTTTAGATAAAATTGCACTTTGTACACGACCGTATGGGGCTATTATTTTTGGACATCAAAATCTTCACTCTAATCATAGAAATAAGTAAAATAAAACTAAAATGTTTTAAACCATCATATTGTGAAAATACCATTAGAACCCAATATTTTCTTTTCACTCCACTCAAAATCGTAAAATGCATACAGTACATACTACCAATATAACAGGCTTTGTTTGAAATCAACTATTAACGATGGATATTAACTTTTGAAAAATTCAATACACCAATAAAACCGTTAATGATAAAATATGTTTCGATAAACTAAAACATAACATACTTCTAATGGACTCGTCGGGAAGGACGGTTACTTTTCTGTTTAAGTTTTATGTGTTCGTACAATAAACTTTCTACACGAACTGATATTATTGGACTGTTTATTTGTACTTGTATTTTTATTTTAATCCACCACCTCATAAAGCGCAACCACAATCGCAATATTTTTCACGAGCTTATAATTTTATTGGCATTGTACCTTTTTATTTTTTTTACAATGCCACTTTATAAAATGATAATAATTAAAAAAAAAAGACTAATATTTTACGTCGTAACGATGTTCTCGATAATACTATACGTATTGTTGTGTCAAAAACATTTAATAAATAAAAAATTTATGATAAATCGATGGCCAACATAAAAAAAAAAATTGATTAGCATATCATAATATCCATATATATAGAGAGCTGTTACTTTATACACGTGTGATACAGCTGTAGTGAAATTTCGTTACAGAACCGTTTATCCTGGCACGTCCCTGTAACGGTAAACATCAAATGCAGGTATGATATCGTACGCCAAACGTTGCAGGCCTACAGTTAGGCGTATTAATTTCAGTGAACGCCGATATGACCAGCATACCAACGGTTAATGGACCAATAAGTAATTGTCTACAAATGATTTTCAGTAGTAATCTGAACAAATGTTTTAAAAGGGATATCAAAATAATGATTTTGTTCGTCTATAAATTGTAAATGGTGAAAAATAAAAAAAATAAAAGAATCGTGTACTATTATAATTATAAAAACTCATTAAGAACGTTGAATCGGTAACGCTTGATCGAGGAATTAAATATGGCAAAACGACATGTATTGACTGCATTTTTAATAATTCGTCTGATACAATTGAAAATATGGTCCGCAGAAAGGCTTTAATTGTGTATCGTTTGTTGATAAACATAATATACAATATATAATATACGAATCTAGAGAAATAAGAAATTTAAAAAAAATCTGCGTTGCAACGTAATTAAACTTTTCTGGAAAATACGCGTCCACAGTATTTCCACGAGAGTAGTACGAAATGAAAATTTTTTAGGACAGATTCGTGCAAGAAATATAGATACCGGCTCAGTGATATTGATGTTGAAAAAATAAATGTGAATATCATCAATAGTCGTTCAGATTGATACACTGAAACGAAACCGGCGTAGGTAGAAAATTGATCAGATCGTTAGATTTTCGAATAAAAATTATGTTATGTATTTTGTATCAAAATCACGTTAACGTGAGTGGATTTAAATACTTAAATTTAAATTCGACTTTTGAATTCAAAAACTATAAACAATTTTAAAGTGCACTGAATAACAAAGAAAATCACTTTAATATCAAACATTTTCAATTAAAAATGCAAAATTAACTTTTCTACTCTTAATAAAAATTACGTGAAATAAAATTGTGACAATTATGCATAAACATCGCACGGACAACTTTGGAAAACTCAAAACAGTGCTAGGTGCCCTGAAAATCTCAGCACTAGCTATAACTCATAATACATTCGTTAATCCATTTTGCGTTTGTATAAAATATTTTTGATTTATGATTAACCAGTAGTTGTATCGACATTGTGCGAAAAACATAAAAATGTTGATCAATAGTATGAAAATGACAATTTAAATTTAATAGTTTTATAAATTAATCAATGTTAATACGAATTATTACAATAATTATTAAAGAATACTACGCTACTATTATACAGCATGATACGACATTGCAAATATAACTACAATGAACCTCCTTCAGTTGTGTGATCTCAATATTTTTTAGAGTAGGGTAGTCGGCATGTCCTTATTAAATTGCTGGTTCGGCGGTTCAGTTTACTAAAGTTTCGATATACTGCGGTGGCGTCGAATTCTGAGTTCAAGTCTGGTTATGACCAGATCATATTTTTTAGAGTGGCGGGTAGTGCCGTAGTGGATTTGTATACGAGTAATAAGTGAATTAAACCAATCAACTATAAATCATAATACTGCCCATTTCATTATTACTATTTAAGACATTTAAGTACCTAAATGCTAAAATAAATCAAACCTTTTTGAGAGGGGTTGAACTCCCAACCCTTTAAAGTATGTCCTTGAGTGGGGTGGGTTGTAAGTTGTAAATTAGGTTTACCAGACCATTCAATATTTTGTTCGGCGCCACTGCGTGGTGGAACGTCAAACCAGTACAAAAATATAATGATTTGCACTTTGTGCAACACCGTACAGTACACGTCTCATTTTTCTTATTTACAATACTTCAATAGCTTTATATTTTATTGATGTATCGACTTTAGAATAGGTCGACTATAAACTGTTGTAAACGCATGAGTTACCCTACCCCAAATTACGCCACTGACCTTCTCTTTTTCGTAGCTCTGTTTATAAACGCGATACTATTTATTTATTTATGTTTTCGAGTACTCGTTGTAACATTTTATCGTTTTTATCTGCCAGCAGTTGAACCTGTATGCATTAGTCGATACTGACGATGAGATAACTACATATAACGTTATCCACCAAACCTATTGTCGTATACGTCACGCAACGGTTTGACGTACGTAACAGGTATTTTTTCGGTTATCGATTCCCCGATCGTCCGACAAGTAAACTACCTGCGGTTCAATACTATTAAATTTTTCTTTCAATGACCATGATGACGAATACTGCGCAAAAGGATAAGTTAACTAGGCCCCACAGGGTTTACACTTCATAACTCTAAGGTCGCTATACTCTCTAATCGCTGACCACGACAACGAGTACTGGAAAATAAAGTAAGCAGTGTCTTGATTACCTTTAAAAAGTGTTTTATTGCCGTATTCGTATCAATAGGCACGCCAGAGATTATATTTTAAATTTATGTTAAAATAAATATTAAAAAAAAAAAGGCAAGTAGATTATATCAAAACAAAACTGAAATATAATAAATGTAATCAAACCATTAATATTCACGAAATTCCGCGATTGGTAATTTGCTGTAAATTGTTTTTACGCGTTTCTTACTGTTTCACATGATTTGTCACTAGGTCAAAAGCTGCTCGTTGCGTTTACGCTTCCGGGCGAAACGCGCAGGCCACCCC